CCGGTGAGATGTTCTCATCTGGAAGAATTATTGGAATTGGAGAAAACAGAAAAGTCAATTGTAGAGATCATATCTTGGAGTCGAGATAAGTTGACATGTGTAAAATTCCTCCTTCGTATTGTTCGGGATGCTACCGCTGCTTGTTAACGGTGAAACATTTTACCAAAGACTTTTGGGTGCAAAATAATTGTACAGTGGTCGGACGTGCTAAGGGGGTTTGTTTTTATATAAAGAAGACATCTGGGATATTTATAAAAATGCCATCAAACTGGGCCTCCAAACGAGTGGGAAAGTGCACAAGATTAACCAAACCTAAAGTTCTTAAGAAAGAAATATCGAAACGACTAAAATCACCAGCCACAATACACAGTGACTGGTCTAAGCCTGTCGCGAATTGTGTTGAGAGACAGTCGGAGAACATTCGGATGTCAGAAGTGGGCGTGTCAGGGGTAATGTCAATGTTTGCTAGCAAGATGTGATTAAAATTACTAAGAAAACGGGGTTCACATTGAACGACAATGCAGTTGATTTTCCTGGTATTAAAATGAAGCAAAAGATGAGAGCTGTTACACCACATACGGTTGACGAAAGTGACTACTCCACCACCTCTTTTATTGAAGTTCCCAATCCGATCATCTCGAAAGATATCAAATCCATCAAGTAATACAATGCCTTCCCCAATGTCAGGATGTAGCCAGCTTTCCTGAAGTATAATAATTCCAACGTTTTTGCACACTTTTTCATGTAACATACTCTTGACTTCATCAACTTTTCTCAGGAATGAACGGATGTTACTAGAGATAATAACAGGTACAGTCTTTTGTTTATGGGTGGAATTACTTTCTGCTTCCAGGACAGTGAGATTGCAGTGTGATAGTTAATAAACGATGTGGAATATGAGGCATCCAGCGAGGGAGGTACAGTCCATTAGTTGACGCAGCAAACCTTGGGCATACTGGTTCTTCCGCATTTCAGTTGAATTCACTCAAATCGGAAAGATATAAATCAGTGAAATATTGAACGGCTGCAACCGGTCTAGTGTGTGTGTCCAGACTGAAAAATCATCATCATCATGGTCGTATCGAGGGTATAGGTGCAACAATACAACCATAAAACTCACATGTTTTTGATCTTCCAGAAGCGAAAGCAAATCACCACAACGTGATTTGCCGTAAGAGTGAACCGTTTCCAACGCGTTTAATCGTCCCGCATCGTCCTTCGGAACCTCTAGCTTATTGTCGTAGAGAACCGCATTTAGTATTTTGGCCGGTCGAAGGTCTTCATCAAACTGCGGAACACGATCTATCCGGACACAACCTACGGCCGTTTTGTACCCGGGCATTTCAAAACTGACTGCATAAACACCTGGGTTCAATAGACGATAGTAGTATCCATCCGAACCTGTTGGGATAAAACACATTAGAGAAAACAATCAAGTAAATTTGTGCACTGAAAAATGTCATTCCCATTTCGGCTCAAGCGAGATTACGGTTCGCGTAACTAGATGTAAACAGAATATTCCTCGTGGGGTCGCACACGAATAGGTAACTAAATGAGCTATTGGAAATAATGGGGAACGAGTGTGGCTCGGGATGTGGATGTTGTTGTTGTTGTGTTCTCGGAGCTGGAAGTGTGGTTCGCAGACGTTTCGGAGCCAGGCTAGGGAACTTCGAAGAAGTTGCTCTGATGATGTTGCCTAGCCTCACTACGAAACGTCTGCGAAAAGCACTGCCAGTTTGGAGAACACACCACCACCAACATTGATGGGGTGTTGCATACCTGCTTGAAACTTCCTGGTTCATATGTTCATCATGTGTGGATCTGTTCATTGCAATATCCGTCTCGTTTAACATTAGGTGTGTTTGATTGGATGAACAAATGACACGAAGTTCGACATAAGCCAAACTGTCACAAGCGGAAGTGGTTTTGAAAGGAAAATGTGCTTGCTCTAGATCCGAAGGTGCTCAGGCACACTTAATTACGCACATCTTCACAACGCCATACTGCAACAGAACAAGTCTGCTTTCTGGATATCTCTCAGATAACATCCCCCTGATTGGGAAAGAGGTCGGGATAGATAGTGATTAAATCGCGGTGTTACAGTCAAATTGATATGTAGACCACATTCTTCACCCTAAAAGTGACCATTTCTTTCTATTTTTTCAATTATTTTTATAAAATTGAAATTTCCAGATTTTCGCACCAAGAAAACTCAGCCGCACCACCGGCCATAATCGACCCTCATTAGTCCATTTTTTCACTGACCTACTGCATTCGAGCTATTTCTCAAGGTCTAGGATGGCCGGTCCCCGAATTGTATATAAACAGATGAGCTGCCCGCTTTGGCCGCCTTTTTTGGTCGAGCCGAATACAGAAACTCGCCTGAAGGACTGTTTTTCTGTTTCTCTCTGGTCAGGTCCCGAGGATCGTACTGGTTTGTGGGACGCTCTCTCGTTACTATCCGGTTGGGTCTAGCTTGGGGTACGGCAGTCGGGCGCACCGGGTATCGTTACGCTGGGTCCTACTGTTCCGCTCGTGGGTCACCGCTGCCACAAGTATCGCTGGTCGGGGCTCGTGTAGTCCGGTCGTTTCATTCAACCCAACGTTACAACACAAACTCCGTAGACCCAGGTGCAGACCTAGGTGGTTTACTTCAGACTTCACCATGTTTGGCTACGTTCTGAACTGTCTCCTAGACAACTGGATATTTGGGTACGCTCTATTCATTCAAATTCTAACTTCTTTTTCAATCTGGATACACCTGAAATTTACTTTCATCACGTGCACTACCTGGTCTCATGGGATACAGATTGTTCCATCTGATTCTGGTTTACTTGATGTCAACTTCCCTGCTGACAGAATAAGGCTAATAAAGATGATAACGGAGACGACCCCTCAGGTTGCATCATGAAAGCTGTAATAAATAGGATACATTTCCAGAAATGCAAAAGCAGCAACTCTCCATCTAATCATTCAATCGTTCGGGATGCAGTTCGAACGAAGATGACCGATACAGCGGAGGGCATTATAATTTCAGTGAAAGTTTGTCTGTTTTTCTGTCCCGATAAGAAATTATTGCACTGAAATTGTTTCCGAGCTCGATTTCAGTGTTTTGTAAATGCCGTTCAACCGTTCAGAGCTTTTAACTGAGCGTGGTGTGCCACGAAGGGGAGTAGTTGAGTCAAAAGAACCGGCTCCACTGACGCCCAGCTAGTTGGAGTGCAGCCTCTGTTTGGTGGAAAAGATAAGTGAATGGTAAACAATGTAGTACCGGGTTCACGTTTGAAACACGGCGCCCTTTGATTGGCTGCGCTACACTTACACGCTCTCCGTCATATTGTGGGAATTTTCACCTTTTCACTCACAATCATGCGCCGTCGTTACTCACAGGATAATATTTGTTTCAAACGTGCCAGGAAATCTTTTGATAGTTCAGCAGTTTGTGAGAATCCATTTTCTCACTGTCCAGGCTGGACCAAAAAACGAAAGCATGCAGGATGGCAAGTTGCTCTTAATTGCACCCCTCTGTCAAAGATAACTGTCCCTTCATTGGTCAGCACTCGGTACCTTTTTCCCAAAATGTCGGACTTAACTAGTGTCCTCCGATCAAGAAATCTTACGAACACGTGTGCAATCTGTGTTCAAGAATCCTGGCTGAATAAGGACGTAGATAACTCTGGTGTCAATAGACGGCTTTTAAGTTTATCGGCAGGATCGTGGAACCGGAGGGGGTGTTGCCACATATGCCAA